TAGTGCTTCATTCTGTAAGTTTATTTTCTTCAAATGAAGTAAATGGAGCATATAGAATTACCCATAATAATAATAATCATCATCACCAGAAAAATGACTCCATCCTAAATTAACACCCTGACACAAATACTGTATCACTCTTCACTGGGCTAGTAAACTTTTAATTATTACTAAACAAATTCACTTTTTTAAAATACGGAAAGTGTGCACTGCCTATGTGAATAAAGCATATTTAACACACATAGCAGACACATCTTAAAATCAAATTTATGTTTTTAAATGAAATTTTACTGTATTTTTTCTCCCACTCCTTCCAAAACAGTTGGAGAGAATCTGAGTAGCCATCTCTAGAGTACTCTATGAAAACAAGTGCCTAAAGCTAAACTGATCCATCAAGATCAAACAAAAACAGACTGTTTCTGAGCTACTGCCTTCTATCCAAGCTCAAAAATATGAGGAGTGGAGGAGGGGAAAGACGCTTTGAACAAAGCTAAACCCTTGGTAAAGGGACTGCAAGCAGCCAACTACACAACAAGGTAGTTCATTTGGTATTTACAACAAAATAACATAAAACTAATTTTTTTTAATGTTCACAGAAAATTCTATCTCCAATATGAACAGGCTTTGCTTTTGTTGTGAACAGTTACAGGGTATCTGAACAGTGTCAACTTTGATTTACTCTGATTCACTAGTACTTCTCTTGACATTTAGTCATGACAAGTATAAGGTGCTGGATTTTTTTCTAGTCTTTATGCTTTTAAGTTGCTTTTTCACATTACTTTCTGAAGGAGATGTCAGAATATTTTGTGTAATTTAAATGGGTAAAATCCTCTTTATTTCTCTCTTATGTTTTTGGTAAATTAGATTCTATTTAAAACTGAAATAACACAACCCAAAATATGTGATAATTGGATTTTAAACAGCCTTGCTCTCTTCGATCATCTCCTATCATAAAGATATAGGCAGATCTGAAAAGTAAAAGTGAGGTCATTGTATTTTTTTATTTGATAGAAAAAGTTCACTCAAGCAAACTCAGCACAACAGGGAACACAAGTTCTATATTATATACCAGTAAGATGCAGCCTTACAGGTGATTCTTAATGACTTCTCTTGGGTGACTCTTCCAGATTTCTCAAAATTAGTGTTTTCAGTTAACAAGTTGTTTCAAGAATTTGGCTCAAGGGCAAATAATGAAACAAAAAAAGAGACTTTTGTAAGTAAAAAGATGGGCACAAAATTAAAAGAAACTTGGGACAAGATAAAAAAGTAAAGTGATGCTTAATTTTAGGCTGGGGATTGGTAATTATTTTTTTCAATTTCATTTTAATAAATATTGCTATTTAAATGAAATTATATCCCAACTGAGCTTGTATTTAAATGAAACTTGATAATAAATCCTTTCTTTAAAACACTACAATCTGCCTTGTTATAAGGCTGTGCGCTTGGGAAGCAGGAGGGCAAGTATGGAAGAGGAGACATTCCTCAGACAAAAATTAAATTAAGCTTCTAGCAGTAATTACTAATAATAAGGAAAAATCAAATAATTATAAAGCATTTAAGTAATACAGGGAGCTACCTACATCATCATCTTCAGGCTATTTTAGTCAAATCAACCACAAGCATGTCATCAAAGACCAAAATTAGGAGTTCCAGAAGTCAATCGAAAAAGGTAAATGCTTCCTTGACAATTGTATACTGTTAGCATTAATATAGAAAGCATTCTATTACAAGATGTGTCACAGTCTGTCTTAAGATTTTCTTTTGCCAGTCTGTATTTCCAACTAGTGAATTTCATGACATACTCAATTCCTAGAGAGTATGGCAGTATCATTAAAAGGGCTAGTATGGGTAGACTGTTAAAATAACAGAAAATCAAATGTGGCTAGAAATACTGAAAGGAAAGAACTGTGAAGAGGTGAACTTACGCTACAAGTTAAATGTTACTGGTACATTCATTCTTTTTTACTACATGCGTACCATACACGTAGTTTGTATACTATACAAAATAAGCTTACAGCAGAAACTTATCATTTAGACAAGCTGTACTGGAATAGTTGTCTCCAACAATGTAGATATTTTCAAAATGTAAACGCGTATTGGAAACTGATACTCTTATTGAAAAGTGCGCTTGACTGTTTTGTGAAATTGTGAAGTATGTATTCTTTGAATTGCTAGTCAGCTATATACCAGCTGCACAAATGTACGGCAGACTGAAACAAGGTGCCCTTTACAGACAATTTTAAAGTCACAATGTCTTTTGCATTTCTTCCTTTGTTTTAAGTAGTTGAATGAATGTGCCTCTGGGGTGTAGAGAAATGGTATTGTGATTTGTTTAACTTTTTTCAAAGCTTGGTTTCTTAGGGTAATTAAATAATTTGAGATCATTGTATAGAATCATAGAATCATTTAGGTTGGAAAAGACCCTTAAGATCATCAAGTCCAACCATTAACCTAACACTACCAAGTCCATCACTAAACCATGTCCCTATCAGTTCTTTCTCTCTACACCCTTTAAACTGCATTAGATGCTATTGATCATTTTCTACCAAATCTAACAAGATAGATGTTTTAGTGATAAGTCTCAATAACTTTCAAGAAGGAAAAACAAACAAAAACCCAAACCCCAACACTCAGATAGAAGATTGAGCCCAAACTAATGTTCCAATTAAGCAAAAGCAAGTTTTTTGCATCTCTCCATTCCCACAGACAGCAGCCAATCAGCACACTGTAACTCCAAACCCACAAAAGCACATGTTTATATCAGCTTATATGGACAAGAAGTAGGAAACCCAAAGGAGCTGAAGACACCCCCTCCATTTCAACCATTTAACATAAACACTAACTAATGGGGTTAGTTAATCACTAGTCTCATTCTAGACCAACTGATGAAGAACTTCAAAATCTTAACACTGTTCAGAAGTCAGGTCTGAACATGCTCCAGTGAACTTCCTGCATGCCGTAGGCTGAATTTCATAGAGTGCAAGAAATATACTCCAGGAACAGAAAAACTGAAAAGCCATTGTAATGAATGTATCTCTGGGATGCTTTTGCGATCATCAAAAATACTTTAAAATGCTGCGGAATTATATCCTAAGTTTTGATTGATATATGTTCAATGTGGTTATACAGAATAAAGGTTTGAAGCTGCCATTAAAAAAATCAAATGTGCAATGCAACCATAGGGTGTTGAAACTGTTTATCAATATTGAAAAAATAAATTTGAATATTTCTTACCTCAAACATCCACTCTTCTTCTTTATCTCCATCCAGAAGCATTTTTGTCTCCTTATATACCTTCCCTATTTCCAGTTGCAATGGGGACACATGAAATTCAATTCTTTGCAAGTTAAAGCCAATTCCAACTCCAACAGCCTTTAAGAAGCTTTCCTTTAAGGCCTAAAACACAGAATAAATGTATTTTATTCATACCAACCGTTTTCAAACTGCTCTATAAACATTACTTCTGAGCAGATAAATTTAAGACTTGTACTACTGTAAATGTGAGAGTAGACTGATGCAATTATCAAGAGAAAAAGTTATCAGCATTGTTAATACCTAGCCTAACTTGTTGCATTATTATGAACTATCACTATAATGAATTATCAAGTGGCACATACAGATATGAACCCTTTACCTTGTTCTGGGTATGTGTTTAAAACTAGTCATAAATCCTTCTAGAAATGTCAGCTGTACTATGGTTCTCAAAGCTACTCTGACATTTAAAAAAATCACTAAAATAGAAAACCCATTAAAATATTATCTCCACATGAACACGTAACTATAAAAAGTATACAGTCTTACCATAATGAAAATAATAACAAAATATATCAAAAGAGAATGTGCAGGTTATAGCATTGCAGTCTTTAAATAGGAAAAAAAAGTACTACCCAGTGCCGATGAAACATATCCAGCTGCATCCATTCATTACTCATAGACTTGATTACACCCCACTCTGTTTCAGTAAACTGTCGCTTCATGATGCGAAAGAAATTTGGAATTGAGCTACTACCTATAAATTAGAGAGAGATATTTACAGAAATTTTAATAGAGTAGTAATAATAAGCAAATGAATTACCTCATGTTATTGCTCTAGAAAAAACTCACTCATGAGAAAAAAAAAAATTATGAACAAACTCTGCTCTACAATCTTAATTTATATAGCCTCAAAGCAGTGATGCTGATGACAGTTTGGGACACAGTATGAAAAAAACCCATTCCTATAGCAGAATTACTGCATTAAAAATGTGAAATGAAAGTCAAACATATTACGTATTTTCAGCATTCTCCAAAAAGGAAAGTATTTAACCAGTGCTGATATTACATAAAAAAAATTTATATTCAGCTACAAAAGTAGCATATACAGTCTTTGACATTTGACAGCTTGATCTAGTAACATTTTATAAAACAGCATGCTGTTTGTCAGAATTTATCAAGCTATTCTGCCTCCTGCCCTTGGATGCTGGGATACAAAAGAAACTTTTTTAAGCATGTCTTTTGTATTTTTTTCTGCAAGAAAAATGGGGGTAGGGAGATGCTCATAATCACAGTAAGAAAGATATCAAGGAAAAAAACCCATGAAACCTTAAAATCCTCAGATTAAATTTAAGCATCCTCTGAAAATAAGCACAGCTGTGTTGCGCTGCAGCAGCTCTTCAGGGGCTACACCACTTTTCTCCACTAGTCTGAATTTACTTTGCGGAAGACACTACAGACTGTGTAGTTATATTGACCAATGGCATTTCTATAATACACTGGAAGCTATGGCCCTCCTTACACACTTGGCTAATCACCCACAGCCTATATCATTAATTAGCATACCATGCAACCTGTCCAATAAGGCTTACAGCTGGCTAAACAGACAATGGCAGAAAGGAATCTATTTTTTTTAGTAGGGATAATAAAAATCTGGATAGAGACAATTCCACATACTGAGACAAAACTTCTTCATAGGTTATGCAATGTTCATATTAAAAAGAAATATTAGTCATATTTAATCCAAAACATAGTCTCTCCTCCCAATACCAGACTACTTTTAAGAACCCATCACTAAATAAGATGCAGATTCTAACCCTAGCTCTGCCACTGATTCTGTGAGTGACTATGGGCAAGGAACTTCTCTTCTCTACACTAATGATCCCCATCTTAAAACAGGGATAAAGGTATTAACCCTTCTCTATAAAGTGGTTGTCTTCTACAGATATCTAAGCACTACATAAAAACAGGTATTGGCAGCAGTAATAACTGATCTGAATGAACTGATGTCACACTAAAGCACACATTCAGGTTTTCTGACAATTTCCAGATCATATTGCAAAGTGTAACCTGACATACTGTACACATCACACAAGACATGGCAGTGACATTTCACAGATGCTCTCAATTTCTTTTATGGACTAAAGTGAAGAAAACATCTTAAGACAGAAATTTTGTTGACAGTTGCAATAGTCAGCTAATGGAATGATCCCAAACAATCTAAGGACAGAACTAACTTTCCTCTTTGGGGAAAATGATGATACTGAAAAAGAAAAGGAACCACAATGTCAAGTATGTTTTGATGGATTACCAAGGCAAATGAAATATCCGTCTACTTAGACAATCCAACTTCCCTGAAACAATGAAAAATAACAAAGAAATTTGTTCAGCTTGGAGAAAGCTTATTGTCTTTCATCTCCCTGAATTTATGTGGCCCATTTTATGATCAAATAACTGTGTTAACACCTGCTCCAAACAACCCACTTACGTTTTTTTTCCTTTCTCTTCTTCTCTCAAGTATTTAAGACACCAGTGGTGAGGCATCAGCCTCTTCAGGTGATTCAAACTACAAAACATTCAAGGCTGTCCTGGTGTACCCTTCCTCCTCCATTACTTTCAGAGAGTTCTCTTGCTTTCAATAACCAACGGCTATTCACACTACCAGAGACGACTACCCACGACTATCCACACTACGCTACCTTCAGCACCTAGAGGCGTATAATGCCTCCTGCATCGTCAGTCCTTCTGCCATTCAAACCTTACTACGCATGGTGAATACGCTCTGAATACTTAAACTATAAACTATTTAGTACACCAAGTGTATATTCAAACTCATATGCTACTGCCTTTTCACTCCTTACTTACCCGTTTTTGGCCTAGGTTTCTTCAACTGTTCAGCTACCCTTCTTGATGCTTATGCTCAAATTTACACAGTACTTTCCCCTCCATTCCAGCCGTCTGTCACGTTCCTCCTTTGAAAAGCTCAGGCACCGCTTCCTCCTGAACTGCCCTCCCCTCCCATTTCCTTCTTAATACAGTGCAGTTGCTTCGCTCTGAGGAATGGATCAGATTAGAGGAGCCAGGACTATTATTCTCCACAAATTACGAGCAGTACCACAGCCTGCCTACTCCATTTCTCCGTATTTGCTTCAGTATCAGAGACAGATTCACAGAATCACGGAAAAATTTAGGTTGGAAGGGACCTCTGGAGACCATCTGGTCCAATCTTCTGTTGAAAACAGAGCCTTATATTAGGTTACTCATGGTCTTGTCAAGCAGAGTCTTTCATCCCTTCTCTGGGCAACTTATTCCAGTGTTTTACTGTTCTTATGGTAAAGAATCGTTTTCTTTTATCCAGACAGAATTTCCCCTGAAGCAATCTGAGCCTGTGGCCTTTTGCCCCGTCCCTGTGCACCCTCATGAAGACAGCTACCTATATCTTCTCTACAGCTACCTTTAAGATAGACTGTGATTCGATTCCCCTCCTCAAATCCCCTCTTCAGATTCAACAAACCCAGCTACATCAATATTTCTACATAGGTCAAGTTCCCCAACCCTCTGATCACCTTGGTGGCCCTTCACACTAAACCCTCCTCAATGTTCCCATGTCTCTCATGAACTGGGGGATGAGGAGAGGACAAAACCAGAAGCAGTAGAAACTTTTTGGTTTCACTTAGAGCAAAAAAGCCTCAAACATACTCTTCCTTTGAAAGAATGGGAACAAATCCCATATAGCAATTATTCAGTTGGTTTTAAATTTGCATTTCTAAATTACCTCCCATTTGCAAGCTGTTTCAGAAATAAACTCACCTATCAACAATTATACAAACACTTGAACTTATTTCTGTGACCATTTCAATTCATTAATAATCCAAGTTCTAGTTTACAAAATAATTATATTTCATTAAAAATACACCAGAGAGATTTCATGCCAAATTATTCCAGTATGCATACTCTAGAGCTAACAGCTATTTTGGATACAATTTTGGATTATACACTGTATAGCCTACAGATGACCATTTGAGGCACAGGGCACGACAGGGTACCAGTTAATCACCTTTCAGTTGGGTTCTTCACTGAACAACTGAGCTTCCCATTCTGATGATAACTTTCTAAGACCTTAAGTATTTTTCCCCGTGTTTACTGCCTATATTTTTCTCTCCGAGAAGTTTGCCAAAAATGTTTAGCACTTTTCCTAATCTCAAAGCCTCCTCTGTAGAATTTAAGCAAAGAAAGAAAAAACGTGCCCCAATATTTTAATGATCTTCATGAAACCACAATATTTTCTACAAGGAAAAGACAAAGACCACGTAACAATACAAAAGAAACTGGAATGCAAGTCGGAAGTCTGATAGGAAATAAAGGCAAGACAAAGAAGTATTATAAGGGTAATCAACCCAACATATTAAATTATTCTTAAAAGTACTTTTAAAAATTTCAGAGGATCTTCCCTGACACTTGCAAAGTATTCACCACAAAAATGACGTAACATGATAAACATTCTCATGAACAGATTCAGGTTTTGGCTTTACCTCCAGACTTTTGTTAACTAACTAAAAATGTAAACTTAGTATCTGCACTTCACTGTGCAGCGGTTTCTTCTTCTCTACAAGATGATACCAATTTTCTAAGAGAAATTTCACTGCAGTGTACATGTATGTATTTATGCAGGTGGAATTCTGGTACATAAATGCTCCAAAATCTTTAATGCATGCAAACTTTAGTATTTTTCTAGGAGCAAATTCTAAGAAAATTCTCTAAAAAAGATCTATGAACTAGAGAAGCATGATAAAAATGAACTGGCAGTAAAAACTTGAAAAACAGATTCTCTGAAGGAACAAATACTTTTATTGTAATGCACACATATAATACAAATACTTCCAGGAATACTTTCTGTCTTTACGTTTTCAACGAACAATGATAAGGCCAGACACTCATTGAACTACTGTTTCTTATTTAACTCACAGCTGTAAAGAAAAAGGATTCATTTAAGACATGCCTATTTAGATTATAGAAAACTGCACTTCTGATCTCTCTGTGCTTCTAAACATCCATACACTAACAAGTTCCAGAGCAGACGCCACACAGATGGGTTCACACAGTACTGAGCCCTTGCTAATACAATCCAGCACTCCTTTCCCAGTGTTCAGGGTTATTCAAAAAAGCACTTAAACTCTGAGCTGAAAAATTACCTGGGGATACAACTATGTGGAAAAATCTAATTGAAATGCTCAAAACTGCATTTCAAATATTCTTTCTTGTAAGTCATATTTACAGCTTCTGAAGAATCAGAATTTAGATTCTGATTCCAATAAATCCAATATACTTACAGTAATCTTGTCCATCTCAGTGGCAAAGTGAGATTCCTGTAACACACAATGTGTGCACTTCAGAAAAAATATTTATGTATGTAAATTACTTATTTAAATTGGTGAGCATCAGGAAATTGAACACTATTTATCTGATTGGTCAAGCATCTAACTAGGTGGGGGTTCATCACTGAAATGGAATAAATTCAATTTTGTGATTTTCGGAATACATGAGAGAGATAAGACATGTTTTCGTACGAGATTTGAAAAATAAGTGGAGTTGGAAGCAGAGAAAAACAGGAAGCTTGTTCCACAGATGGCTTATGATTAACGGGAAAAGATATATATCTCCATCAACTATTAAAACTCTTTGCAAGAACAGCCACTCACCTTTTGCTGGTTTTCTCTAAGAGAAGAAAAATTGTGATAGGAGCAGATCTATGAAAAT